CACACACACACTGAACAACACACACACACACACACTGAACAACAACAACTCACACACACACACTGAACAACACACAAACACTGAACAACAACAACAACTCACACACACACACAGAACAACAACAACTCACACACACAAACACACACACACTGAACAACACACACACACACTAAACAACACACACACACACTAAACAACACACACACACTGAACAACAACAACTCACACACACAAACACACACTGAACAACAACAACTCACACACACACACACTAAACAAACAGTAATTCAAACACGTGTCCAGTGTCAAAACTCGTGCACGAGATGAGCGTGTCCGCTGCAGACACGTGGTTTGACGTGGTGTCTTACGTGAGTTCGGTATTCCTCAAACATCGTACCTGTCTTTGCGGCCCCGGGTTCATATCCCATCAGCCTGTGCATGGCGGCCTGCTCCTTCTTCAACCGGCTATCGAACGTGTGTAGCGCCATCAGGTCCCGCACGGTTCTACCTTTGCCCGTCCACTCCTTGTCCGACATGTCGGACATGTCCGGCCGGTGTTTGTCTCTCGGCTCCTCGGGTCGCTTCCCGTGCTCCCCGGGGCCGTGCGCCACCAGAGCCCCGGGCAGAGCCATGTGAGCCGGGCGGCCGTTGAGCGGATGGCCGGTGGGAATGACTCCGTTCACCAGAGGCACCAGGCTGGGAGGAACCGTGCTGGTCCGGCGGGGGTTCGGGCTTTGACGGTTCAGCTCGGGAGGCTCGTCCGGTTTCGGAAATCCGTTCGGCACCGGGAGGCCGTTCGCCGACCTGCCCGCCTGGTACTCCGCTCCCAGCCGCGGAGGCCGGTCAGACAGCGGGTAGCGGTCCAGAGGCTGCGGGGGACGGGAGCCGGAGTCTCCTGCCGAGTGGTTGATGTCCTTCCCGGCGTGCTGGGGCTTCCCCGGACCCGGGGAGCGGCCGTCCTGGAGGCCGTGAGCCCGCTTCAGCTGCCGGGCGGTGTCGATGACGAACTCGACCCGGTCCGCGCCCTCGTAGTTGACGCAGCCGCGGCACACGGGCTCGGTGAAGTCCCAGATCAGGGCCCAGGGCATCCGGGGCAGGTCGCACAGGAAACACGCCTGTCTCCTGGAGGCCGACATGTTGTCTCCACACAGCGGGACTCTGACAAATGCCCGCCGGCCTCCTCGCGTCTCTGCGGGGAAGAAACGAGCAGTAGCACCGGAGACACGCGTCACACACACACCGGAGCCCCGCGCGCTCTGACCGGAGCCCGTGACGTCACAGGGCTCGTGCTCAGGTCCCTCCACGAGCCCGCGGGCGCATGCTCCAAGTGCCTGACGAAGATCGTCTCTGTATGCGTGGATGGAGGTGAGGTATCACTCCGTCTGAACATCAGTGTCGTTCAAAAGATGAGAAGAGAAGTTCACGTCTGGAAAACAGGAAGAAAAAATAATATATAATATATAAAACGTTTTTATTAAAAACTGATGACGAAACAAACAGAGG